GAGAGGGAGCAGGAGCAGCCAAGCTGCGGAATTGGGGCTTGACCTGGAAGGAGTCGACCTTCAGGTCAGACGAGACGCTTCCTTCTCCTTCCTCGAAGCTCTGAGGGTGGTTGGCATTGGTTCGGTTCGGTGACAGCAGACAGGCCGGCTCCCCGAGGGCAGGGACTGCTGTGCCCGCCAGGACATCCCCAGTGCCCGGCGCCGTGCCCGGCGCACAGTGGGCGCTCGGTCAGTACCTGCTGAGTAAAGAAACGGTCGGTTTCACACGGTGACTCCGCTCTCTGAAAATGTGCCAAGAACAGTTCTGAGCTCAGCCTGAGGCAACCAGGAAGTGCCGCCAGGGGTCAGAGAGGACTTGGGGTGGGGTGGGGGGGCACCTGGGCCGTCCTGCGCAGCCTCAGCACTTCTCGAGGTGGTCCTTCCGAGACAGCCCCGCGGTGCTGCAGCGAACTCCAGAGACCAGGTGCTGTCGTCGTGCTTCAGAAGCTGGGATTATTCGTTTAGCTAGCAGGCCTGGGACGCCTGCCAGTCCCGCGGAAAGCGTCCCGTGTGGACGTGCCCCTGAGCTGCCCCACGCCGAAGGGGTTAGGCAGGAGCGATCGATGGGGTGAGCAGCCAGGTCGGGGGTGGGGGGCTCCTGATGGGGGAACCGTGCCCGGTAGGGTGTTGGGGGGCCTTCAGGGGGTCAGCCACATCCTGGTCATTGACCTGAGCTGGTCACACAGGTATGTTTATGTGGTGACAGTTCATCGGGTTTTACCCCTAGGGTTTACGTCCTTTTCAGCGTGCGTGCTCGACTTCATGTAAAAGTTTACTGTAAAAAAAGCGGCAGTTGCGAAGATGAGGCCTGAGGAGTGTGGCCTTAGGCGGCCGGCTGGAGGGTCAGAGGCTGGGGTTGTAATTCCGTCCGTTCCCACAGGGGGGCGGCGTTGTGCCACTTGGTGAACTGTGGGAGCAGAGCCCAGCATTCCTCTTTCTTCCCGCACCCCTCCTTGAGGCTTCGCCGCGCCTAGTTTTGATCATCCTACTCAGCTTTATCTTTAGGATCCAGATTATCCCCCCTCCACCCCCCCACCCCCGCTTCCATCCCAAAATCATCTTACAGTCTGTTTCTTTCGGGTCAGGCAGCAGTGTGTAAACACACATACTCTCATATGATTTTAAAATACACAGGCCAGGAATTCCTTTTTCTAGCTGACTCTCATCTCTTCCCCAGTCAGTCTCTTTGTTCCACTCTGTCCCCACCCCCCCCCACCCCCCAAATCCACTAGAAAGTTTCCTTTAAACCACCTCTGTCCACACAGCCGTTAAGACGGGCTGCACAGTGTACAGTTTGGGGGAGGGGGTCGGTTCCAGAGGCCTCCGTCGGTAACAGTTCGTCTAAATCTGATGGCTTCACGTGCGAGATGAGATCCTATTAAGTTAACAAAGCCAGCCCCTCCTACCTGCACCGCCAGAGCTGGGTTTGTGGCCAGTGTGGCCTCTTTGAAGGTATTGGGTTTTTGAACCTCTAAATAAAAGCCACCCCGTATATGAACTCGAAACCCCATAGGGTTTGCATATTAAAGGTCTGCGAGGTTGCTGGTGAGTTTGGAGCAGGTCTTGCTTACACGCTTCACAACTGAATCAGGTGGCTTCTTCAGAGAAAACCATTTCGACTTCGAAATAAAGTCATTTCAGTATGAGGACCATCTGCTACTTGTCCTCGTAAGAGAAAAAGTATATTTTTCACCACTTAGCCAGTAAAAGTGTAACTAAAACTACTTTTTTAAAAACAGGCACTATAAATAAATTATAATTCATCCGTACTGTAGATATCTAGATAGCTGTTTAAAAATGAGATAGATACATATTATTAAATGAAGTACCACGAAGTAATATGCATTATGATCCATTTATTTAAATCCCCCCAAAATCTAGGCAACCATGTACATGTATATACAGGTTTATATGGAAAAGGCATTGAAAAAAGTCTCCAGACTTTTCCATGATACTCACCAAACTATCAAACATAACCATCTCCTCAGTGGGGAGTAGGCCTAGAAAGAGGGGGTAATGTTTGAATTTGAACACAAAAGATATATTCATGTATAATCTGATTAAATTTTTTAAAAGAATGTAAGCAGTCACTGTATATATTTGTTTAAGGGAAAAAAAGTAGCCTGCTTGCACAGAGCCGCAGCTTAAACCTCTCCTTATGCTGGGCTCAGCATGTAGCTGACATCTGTGTGGCTCTTTAAAATTTACAAGTATGTAGATACGGTCATTTCATGTCACCTTCCCAACAGCCCTACAAGGCAGATTTTTGCCTCCGTTTTACAGATGAGCAAACTGATGCTAAGAACGAGTAAGTGACTTGCCTTGGCTCATAGAATTCATGGAGAAGCAGATCTGAGACTCAAACCCAGGTCTTCCAGATCTGAAGCCTAATGTGCTTTCCACTTCACTACAATAGAAAGTAGTTAGTACCGGTCGATTTGACTTAATTTTCTCATTGCTTGTTTATAAGGAGCCCTTTGCTCAAGTTGGGTCTGTAAAGGGTGTTGCTCAGCTTACCTGTTTTCATGGAGGGCGATTCTCTCTATCAGCTGGTAAGGTCTAAACTGCTGTTTTCTTCATGGCCTGAATCCCCGCCCCACCAGTCTGCTTTTCTTGTTATTCTTTCTCAGGGAGCCTTTTCATAAGCTGCTAGCCCAAGGCCTTATCAAGGGGCAGACATTCCGCCTACCGTCTGGGCAGTATCTTCAGAGAGAGGAAGTAGATCTCACAGGTAAGCATGGCCCACGCAGTCTCATCCAGGTACGTGCAGAGAACTGAGGTCAGACCTAGGAGCCATTGACAAAGCATGTGCGCACGGCCAGGCCTTGGCTGGGTGGGGAATCCAGGGGTGGGACCCGCTGGCCTCTTTCAGCTTGCTCTGGGCTGGCGCCCTCGGAAGCCTGGGCTGGGACCGCTGGGACCGGCTCCCTGCTCCTCAGCCCCACCCAGTGCAGCCTCAGCAGCAGCCTTCAAAAGGGTTTTTTTGCATAACCAGCTTGGGCATCACCTGTCCTATCCCGTGTTGGACAGTCCCTCTCAGAGACAGAGTTCCCAGGCCCAAGAGACGCTTTTCCAAGACCGAGGTACCCCTGGTGTTTGTCTCCACGTGGTCTAGAGGCATATTGTAGCTGTGCAGTTTGCACACTGCTCAAAGGCACCCAGCCGAGGTGACCAGGGCCCAGAATCCGGCCGCTTGCCAAACCTACACAGCTCGGGGCCACGTCTGCCCAGAGAGGGCACCTTCTTACTTCTCAGCGTCTCTGCCCAGGAAAGGGCCTGGTCCCTAAATCGCACGCAGTGCCATGAAGGCTCCCCGCAGCCTGGGGCGGGTGTGTGGGCCATGCGGGAAACCGGGTCCCTGAGCCCCAGCACAGCCGCGTAAAACGACCCCCTCCGCTCCAAGGTCATCGGGCCACACAGCGCTGCGAACATCTTGTCCCTTCTCACGCGGACTTGCCCCTGGGACAGGAAACTTGATGGACAGGGGCAGGCCTCCATCGCCTTAAGGGGCGTGTGTGCCTCTCGTGAAATACGGCATTGCCTTTTAGGGGCATACATAGGTCCCTTGGGAGTTCGGTTGCTGTTGGAGTTGGGGACTATTTGGCTGGAAGAGACAGAACTCCACCCAAAGGGGTGTTTAGCAAAGGACATGAGAATGTCACCCAGACAGCTGCAGGAAGTACAGCTGGGCCCTCGGCCTGTGGGAAGACACCGCGCCGCTCCTTTCTCCAGCCCCGAGTTCCTCCTCCTGCTTCTCTGTTCTGCTCTCCTTCCTCCTCCCGGCTCGGCTTCTGTGCTCCCTAATTTCAGATTGCACAGTGCCGGGGGAGCCACCGTGCCGAGCCTTGCCCCATCTCTCTAGGACTTTAAGGTTCCAGCCCCCAACAGCATCAAAACAGGTTGTGTCTCTTCGTTCCAATCCCTGTGAAAGAGGCTTAGCCGTGTCAGGTCCTTCCTGGTCCCAGCCACTGGGGCTTGGCAGCAAGGTCACCTCATCCACACATGGCCATTGAAGGCCTCTTGCAGCAGCACCATCTGGACCCCTGGTATGTAGGTGGAGCAGAGACAGTTCCAAAGAACAGAGCGTGGCAGGCTGGCACCACAAAGGGACATGACAGTTAATGTGAGCCCAGCGAGTTAGCTGCATGGGCCCTGGCAGTGCGACATGGACACCGAGACCAGGCCTGGAGGCGAAGTGACCGCTCAGGGCGCGTTGCTGCTCTGAGGCCCTCGCAGGTCAGCCGCCAGCGGCCATAAGAGACCGTGAATCCTTAAAGAAGACAGCGAGTCGTTCTTACCCTTTTTACATTCCTTTTTTTAGCCATAAGAGACCGTGAATCCATAAAGAAGACAGCGATGTGTGCGAGTCGTTCTTACCCTTTTTACATTCCTTTTTTTGCAAATAAGTAATTTACTTTTATAAAGGGGGAAGTTGCTTGGTCTCATTTTGTGGTTGAGAAAAAGCTGCCACAGGCCATTATAATCGTGCTATATACTCATGCGAGGAAGATTCGGGGTGGGAGCTGGGCCTCAGTTATTTCAAATCTTTTCATAGTGTAACATAGAGGGGGAGAGAGAAGCACATCAAGCGAATGCGTGGGGTTCTTCGCGTGGACACCAGTAACTGCTCGCCAGGGTTTTCTTAGCGAATATGTTTTTGCAGAACCAGTTCTGAATCACACGTGCCACACGTATGTGTTATTCTGGCGTCTAGGTTCTGTTCCCGTCCACGCCAAAACCAGAGAAAAGGTGGAGGTGACGTGGGAGAAGATGAGCAAGTCCAAGCACAACGGCGTGGAGCCCGAGGCGGCCGTCGAGCTGTACGGCATCGACACGGTGCGGCTCTACCTGCTCTTCGCCGCCCCTCCTGAGAAGGACATCTTGTGGGACACGAAGAGTGAGTCACCCGCCCCTTCCTCGCCCGCCTCCTTTGCGTTTCACCTCTGACGCCGGGAGGACCCGGGGAAGCCGAAGGCGGTAGCAGAGGATTCTAGAAATCAGCTCCGTGAAGCGAGTAGCGGTTTGTCCGCTTCTCAGCCCAGGGCTGTACCCTTCTCCGCTCAGTGCTCCCTAATGGAACGAGCCTCGCATCATTCGGGGAGCTCGTTGCCATGGCGGATTCCCGGTCCTCGGCCCGGACCGGCTGACATGGGGCCGGGAGCCTGCCTCTGCCGCGTCTGTGGTCTCATGCAGGCTCTGTGGGGACCCGCCATGAGGACAGCCCCGGAGAGCCGGGCTGGCTTCCTCGCTGCCCCTGGGGCCGCTGCGGTCCACAGAGGCCAGGCCCCTCTCAATCTACCCCAAAGGCTTTTTCTAGAACAGTGTCACCGCCCCTCACCCATCCAGAACCGCCCCCCCACCCCCACCTTGGCTGATGTTACCGGTGACCTCTTCAGTCACCGCGGCAGCCTCCAGAGCCCCCCTCGGGGTGCTTTTCCTCTCCATAGCTGCTTAGCTCTAACAGGGTGCGAGGTAATAGTCCTGGTATCTGGACATCCTAGAATAAACCGTCCAGCAGCCGTGTGGTCTGCCCCACGTGTTATGGGACGCTAAGTCAGAGGCCTGGGATCGCCGTTTATTTTGACCGTTTCCAGTGAGAAGTGCGATCTGGAGCATGAGTCTCAGATGCCAGCCCCAGAACTAGCTGCGTTCGAATCTCTGGGGACTTACAAAGTGCAGACCTTTAGCAGAGGTTCTGGCTCTCCACCCCACCCTGCAGAATTGGCTCGAGGAATCTGTTTCTGACAAACCTTCCAGAAAGTCCTGCTTTGCATCCAGGCTTAAGCATGCTTAGCTCCATGGCCAAAGAGCAAAAACCGTAGACTGGCCCCAGTTTGGCTAACCATGTGACCCAGGGCCACCAGATGAAGCCGTTCAGCTTCTCCAGCAGATCAGAGGAGCAACTAGATTTGATGAACGTGTTTGAAATAGGAAATACACACCTACCTGCCATGACAGGGATTGTGTTAAAACGCCTCATGAGCTGTACAGCCGTGCAGCTCCCAGCGTGGTCTGTGGACCGCTGCCACCGCAGGTCACCTGTCCACGTGAGACGAGAAGCTTGTACCGGTGTAAGTCAGCTGTGTCTCCAAGCACACCGCCAATAGCACAGACACTTGTCTCCACAAGCTTTCTTAATCAACGAGTCAGCACTCTATGCACATCCTGGCTAAGCCTCCGAGCTCATCGTGGGCCGGTGACGGACAGTGGGCAGCACTTTGAGTAGCCCCGCTGCCCAGTGCTCTGCACGTCTGGGGCTGTAACGTGTGATGGAGCCGGGCCTGGTCTGAGTTCCCAGACGTGGGAGGACCCTGCCACCTGCCCTTAGGTATCTCCCTCGGGGCGCAGTGAAGTGTGTCTTCAATTCACAGGTGTTTTTCTCAGCTTGGGGAGAACCAGGTCAGTCGTCCTCACGTGTCTCTCTTCTCTCTCTCGTTGACTGACACCGATCTCAGCCGACGCGCTCCCCGGCGTGCTGAGGTGGCAGCAGCGCCTTTGGGCCTTGGCAACCCGGTTTATTGAAGCCAGGACTTCCGGGACGGTTCCCAGGCCTCTGCTGCTGAGTGACAAGGAGAAAGCCGAAGCCAGGAAGCTCTGGGAGTTCAAGAACTCGGTCGTCTCTCAGGTCAGAGTCCAGGGGACACTGGTTCGTTCTGTAACTGGGCACTCGTCGTCTGCGTGGCCCACCTTCTCTTAGGCTGGGTCCCTGTGGGTCTCATCCCCACTTGCTTGATGAAATCTTAGCACTTTGGGTATTTCACCAAGGTAGAGCCGAAGTACAAACATCCTCAGGGAAAGACTGGCTCCCTCTAGTTACGTCTTGCGTCTGTCCATCCTGCCTCTCAGGAAGCTGCTGCCCCCTTCCCACATTCCCATGCTTGACGCATCCGGGCAGAGCACCAAATTGGGATCACGCCGATGACGCACTATGTGGATTATATAGAGTTGGAAGGTACTTTAGCTCCTCATTTTACAGAAGGCGACAGAGATGAGGCACAGAGAGGTTAATTGTCTTGCAGAAAGTCACACAGCTAGTGAGAAACCGAACAGAGACTAGAACCCAAGTCCCCTGATGCTCAGCATAGCGGGGACCTACCCACTCAGTTACTGTGTTATCCTATATCCGTGTGAGTTATTGTGGGTTAATTTTTTTGCAAATAAATGATTGATTTATGTTACCTTCTTAAAGAATAGTATATTGTTGTCCTAATCATTTTAAAACATCGATAAAACATTCTTCATCGATAACAAAACCATTTAAGTTTTTTTATCTAGAAGTCTACCATACAGCAATAACATTCACCTTTTAAAGGCCTTTATGTGTGTGTTGGGGGGATGGGGGGTGGCTGGGAAAAGTCATATATCTCTGAAAGAAGTCATGTAGGAAATATGAAGCCATTTTTAATGGGTACCAGATACCCAAGATGCTCCTCAGGCTGAGTTTTGTTTTTTTGTTTTTTTAAGATTTGTTGACTCAAACTTATAAAAGTCAGCCAAGGTCACTTATCTGGACTTTGACAACTAATAACATTTGCGTAACTTGAGTGCCCCTGGGCCCAGCACGGTCTCATCTGGTAACACTTTGTCAGTTCTGTTTCTGTCCCCCGTCCTCTGGTGTGGAGAAACAGAGCTCACTTCATTGACTTTAGTCATCTGAGTGATGCCTGAATGACTGTTTTCATACCACATATTTTCTCTCCAGATTTGGCAGATTTTCCTATTCTGTCAGATAATAGAATTGGGATATTTCACCAAGTTGGGAACTCGTGACGTCTTAGAGATGTGTTATTTTTTTTACGTACTTGCCCACGGTCAAAGTTGAAAAGCACAAACAGGAAAAAACTGACAGATCATGTTCGTGTTTTTGTGCCGACTCCATATTTGAAAGTGTAAAACTAACCGTATTCCATATACTAATGATCTTCCTCGTGAATCAAAGTCACGTGACCAAGGGGACGCGACGGCCTTTGCCCCATCTCCTGTTGACTGTCGTTTCGATGTTTGCTCGTGCGTGGGTCCCGCCTCCTGTTCGTGGGTTTGCAGTGTTTGTCTTCTCCTGTGAGAATCGACACTGTCCCAGGCACGGGGACGGGCACAGGGGATGGGCACAGGGGACGGGCACAGGGGACGGGCACAGGGGACGGGCACAGTCCCCAGTGGCGGAACACTGACATGCTATTAAAACCCTCCGTGCCGTGAAGCGTTCCAGCGATTATTTGCGACAGTGAACACTGCTGAACAGCTGCGATCGCATGCATTGAATTTCACGTTTGGGGGACAATTCCGCTTTATTTGCAGAACGCGTAAAGGAACTTTGAAGAAAGTGGACTAATTTGACTCTTCCCCCACAGGTGACCGCCCATTTCACAGAGGACTTCTCTCTGAATTCTGCGATTTCTCATCTCATGGGACTCAGCAGCGCCCTCTCGGTAAGTGTCCTGTCCGCCCTCGTGGTGGTTGTCGAGGAGGGAAGTGGCCCGCAAGGTCTCGGATCTGGGACAGAGCAGCACCACGATGTCACCCTCTTGGTGCAGCTCTGCTACCCTAAAGGAGCATTTTTTCCATGGTCACAACCTAGTTTTGTAGTTGGAGGTTTCTGAAAGTTTATCCGGGCCAAACCCCCTCCCCCACCACCCCCGCAGTTTGCAGAGGAGGACGGAGGCCCAGCGAGGTTGGACGACCGTCCGGTCGAGGAGGGGCAGAGCCAAGGGCGCGCTGGGCCTCCCTGCCGCGCGGCCGTGCTCTTCCCCGTCTTCCCGCGGCCACATTCCCTGAGCGCGCTGGGCACCTTCCTGGCACCACCGACTTCTGCCGTTCATTTCACCTAGACCGATCAGGTTCGTCCTCTCTGAGAACAAAATCAGCCTCTGCGGGATAGACTCATTCTCGTCCAACACCTGGCCGCCATTTTTCTGGCCAGGTAAAGGCCCCGTCAACAGATGGAGCTGTTTGGACAACAACAACAACAACAACAACAACAACAACAACATGCACTAACACTATTAACAAATGCTTTTTATGGTGAAGCCCTTTCCCGGCTTTTAAGAACAGTGGAAGAAATTTACAGATTTGACTACATAAAGCTCACCATTCCTAGTATATTAAAACATGCCATATTAAAAGATAGCTAAAAACTGGGGAAGACATTTATAACAAATATGTCCAACGAAAAGGTAATATCTTTCATATGTAAAGAGCTCTTACATATTAATATGAAAACCTAACCCCAAAATTGTCAAAGGATGTGAAAAGATAATAATTCACAGGAGACAGAAATAGGCAAAACTTGTGGTGAAAAAAAAAAAATCTGCCCTACTAATTACCATGAAATGCAAATTAAAGATGAGATGCTATCAAATTTACAGAGACGTTTTAACTTAGCTGTTCTTCACGCTATTGTAAAGACGGTGAGACAGGTTTCCACACCCCAGTGCCAGACGTGGTCGGCGTGACCTCGGCAGGAAGCACTCCCACTGTAGCCCTGGGGCCGTGTCTTCAAGTGTCCACTGGCAGGTGATTTATAATCACAGAGACGTGGGATCCCAAATGTCTTTCAGTGGGAAAATGGTGACATGACTTATGTCACATCAATAAGGAGGAAATGTGCCACCAACATCAGCATCATGTCTTCCAAGAATACTGAATATCAGAAACTTTTTGTGACCTAGGGTTAAGTAAAAACATACAATACAGAAGTGTCTATATGGTAAAAAGCCCTAATCATGAAAACGTTATGTGTAAGAGAGTGTATATTCACATAGTTTTGCATTTTTGGAGACTAGGGTAAAATATACCTTTTGAGGAGGTGGGCGGTGAAGGGGTGGTACAGTTGTGAGTGGTTTTGTATTTCCTAGATTTCCTGAGCTGAGTGTGTCTTGTTTTTTTAATCAGAACAAAGGAGCAAATATTATAGAAAAGTTAATTTTAAAAATTTAAAAACCTCCTACTCCCTGGCAGCTCGTTCCGTCCACAGCTCTCTGATAGACGGTCTCTGTACCCTTACCCATTAAGTCGTACTCAGATCTCTTAGACGATTTTTCAGAGCTCACATTGTGATGGGAAAACTACATCCCCCCCCAGCACACCGCACCCCCCACCCCCGCCCCTCGGCCCTAAACTGGAAGCACCCCAGACCCCGTACTGTCGGGGTTAATGGAGGCGTGACCGGTTCCTAACTCCATTTCCAGGCCCTCTCCCCTGTCCGGAGAATGCGGGCGATGGGACCGAAGGTCCTGAGCTCGTAAACGTGTCTTGGTCTTTCTGGTGACCAGCCCCACCCAGGAGCTATTCAGGAGCCCACCCAGAGTCACCTCATTAGAACAAAAGACACTTCTGTCACCCAGCAAATTCCAACGGGTTTAGGAGCCCTGTGCCGGGAACCAGGGCCCGAAACCAATATATATATTTTTCTATTACTTCACACATATATCCACGCATTGTTTAAAAAACAAACAAACAAAAAGCCATGTAATATTGTTGGCCTCTCTATACCCAGCAAAATACATCATGTGGGCCCTGACTTTTAATTTTTAAAAATATGTCATAAAATTAAACCGAAATCGTGTTTGTCACAGGGTGTTAGGGACACGTACAGAGTGCCACGACACGCTAAGCTGGTTTTTACCATGACTTCCTCGGGGTGCCTTGAGAGCTGCCGGCCTCCGTGAAGTCCCTTCAGCAACATTCTTCCTGCAGCCACCTCTAGATGGCCCTTCCCCACTTCCAGGCCTTTGTGACCACACACCCCAGCTCACCCCCAGCTGTGTGACCGCCCTGCCTCCCCACCCGTGGGATCCTGTGACATCCTTGATTCATTTGTTGGTATTCTCTCCCATTGACTGCAAGCTCCTTCAGGGAGAGACATCTCGTTTTGTAAAATATAATCATAATATCCGGGACGTTTTGTCCCTAAAGTCTGGCACATAGTACATATGCTACGTGTTGAGTGGGTATGACTGGTGAGCCACACCTCAGGAAGAAGCAGCTGCATGTTTCCAGTAACTGGCCATGCTGATTGAGAGAATAGAGACCCCTGAGCTCCCTGAGGCGGGCAGGAGGACCCCCGCATTGGAGGGTCCACCTTGTTAAACCTTTGAGCGGTCTTTTCACATTTCTCACTGGTCCTGTGGCATACAGGACACCGAGCAGAGCAGAGAAGGGTTCTACTCCGAGAAAAGACCAACCAGATTCTAATCCAGACTCCCCGCCCAGTTAACGGTGTGCCCAGGGCCGATTACTGTCCCTCTCCAAGCCCTAGCTGCTTTGTCCGCGTACCCCACCCACTCGCGAGAACTGGACCAGTCGGCATCGGGCCGCGGGCATAGTAAATGCTCAGTTAGTAGTGATTTACTTGCTGCTGTTGCTGCTCCTGCAGATTTTTCGTGGCTTTACTAATAGTTACCATATTTAAGGATCCTGTACTCTATGGCCGTTTCTTTCTTTCTTTTTTTTTTTTTTAATTAAAAAATTTTTTTTCGGTTACAGTCAACATTCAACGTTACATTAGTTTTAGGTGTACCACATAGTGGTTAGACATTTATATAACTTACAGAGCGACCCCCCCGTAAGTCTAGTCCCCTCCTGGCCCCATACGTAGTTACTACAGTATTACTGATTATATTCCCTGTGCCGTACTTTTTACAGCCCCGCGACTATTTTGTAACTGCCAATTTGTATTTCTTAATCCCTGGACCTTTTCCACCCAGTCCCCCGACCCCCTTCCATCGGGCGGCCATCAAAACGTTCTCTGTATCTATGAGTGTCTGTTTTATCTGTTCATTCATTTTGTGTTTTAGACTCCACGTATGAGCGAGATCCTATGGTATGTGTCTTTCCCCGTCTTACTTATTTCGCTCAGCGTAATACCCTCCAGGTCCATCCATGTCGCTGCAGCTGTTTTCGATAACCGTCATTACCTGGGGAGAGTTCTCTGTCCGGAGCAAAAGTGGCTGGTAGAGAGGGCATCTTCCTACCTGCTGTGTCTCTGGACTTGGGCCGTGGTGACGGCCATCCTTGCCCGTGCTTGTTTTGTACGCCTCCGTGTCCTTCCATCCTTCCACTGTTATTTTTGTCTCTTCCTCAGCAAGCTTCTCAGAGAGTCGTCCTTCACAGCCCCGAGTTCGAGGATGCTCTGTGCGCCCTGGTGGTGATGGCTGCTCCCATGGCCCCTCACGTGACCTCCGAGCTCTGGGCAGGTAGGTGGGTGAGTCCCGACATGACCAGTTCCGACTTCCCAGAATGCTCGAGCCTCTTGTTGAGCGAGATTTGGGACTCAGGTGTCCGCGGCCATGGGGTCCAGGCTCTGGCATCTCCTGCTCATCTTATGCTCTGAATAGCGGTAATTTTTCTTCAGCATGGTCACCGGTGCCAAAGGGAAAGACACTTCCCGCTCCGGAACGATGTGCCCGGACTGACGTGAATACCAATGAGGGGACCAAGAGTCGCCGTGTATGGTTGGGTGAGAAGAACTGGAGGGTTTGAAATTCCTGTTAGCCAGGCAGTCCTATGACCGCAGGAGTTGGGCAGAGACGGGGTAGGGCTTCTGGTTGACAGAGTAGTGCCCATACCTGTCAGAAAGGTCGGTTTATGCCCTTCTATTGGAAAAGGTAGTTCTTGTTTTGTGGGAATCATTGGAAATTGGCCTGTCAGGTCTCAGAGTGGCTTCATAATTCCTCAGGAGGAGAGAACATTTGTTCCTTTTTTTTTTAAGCTAGGATGAAACAGTTATTTTTTCCAATGTGCCCCTTTTTATGGCATCAACAAGTGTCTCTGTCAAAAAGAAGGCGTGTTTTATCCCTCGAAGAAGAGGAGGGCCTGTTTTCTTGCTTTCATTGCAAAGCTATGAGCTTAGTTTGGATTTTATCCTTTTTTTAGTACCTAAGCCTCTTTAAAATGTTCAGACGAATGCCGACGTTCATGCAGTGGGGTGATCTGGTGGCCAGTTTTGGGGTTATGTACCGTATCTACAATTTCTGGCTTTAAACATCCACTAACAAACTGGGAAGGGCCTGGAAAAGTCCACGTCAGGAGCTAATCGTGATGACCGTCTGAGGCCGCTGGTAGGCCTGTCCCTGACCTCTGCTGTGGATCCCTTCTTTGCTGCTTGCAACACTGAATCCAGGTCCAGTTTACTGTGACAAGAAAGCTCTGTAGTTTAGTCCCCAAAAGATCTTGCTTCAAGGTGTTCCGATTGAGTAAAAAATGTATTTCATTGTTTTAAGTCATCTTCTGGGTCTTTCTAATTAGCATTTTCTAATGAAGCTTTCACATCTCCTGGCCCCTCCAACAGGTGGATTATTGGAGAGGTCAGAGAAACAAGACAAGTCTGAATCCTTTTATGAATCTGTCTGTTTCCATCTGAGATTTGAGACTTTTTAAGCACAGCATGGAGAACTGAACATCACAGGGCTTAAAATCTACAAAACGGTCAGTGACAGGATCCCTTTGTAGTAGGGGTTGCAATTTCAAGTGACAATGAGGTAGTGCGACTGATATCGATGGAGGAGGCGGAGAGGGGGTCATTATAAGGCCCTCTTGAGGGTTGACAGGTGCTAAGGGTGAAGGCGAAGGAGGTAAGGAAGGGTGAGAAGAACAAACGGCATTCACAGTACTACGCAGGCAGACGGCTGAGACCGTAGACAGGTGGGCGGGAGATGCTGGAGAACAGCTTCACCAAGGAACAATACGATTCTGACCAGGAAACCGAGAGCTCAAAGAGAGTCTCATTCCTAAGAAAACAAAATGAACACAGCACCGAAAGCCTTCGGCCAAATCCTGGCGCTCAGTTCAGTGTGCGCTTGGTTCCGAGGTTGGGCCAGTGACACCTCGAGCAGGTAGAGACCGAAGGGGTCTTGATGTCCGAGTCAGGGGTCTCGGTAAAAGGCGGCGACGGTCTCAGCCGACACTTGTGAGCCCACAGTCCTGTTGATGTCCTCCAGCCAGAGGCCACCAGGAGCACACCTGTGTTAACAAGGTGGGTTTATTACAGAGGGGCTTCTGTGCGTAAAGGCTAAAGTGAAGTGGCCTCACTTCCTGTCCATCTCCTAGGAATTGCCAGGGCTGGACGAGGCACGGTGGGGTCCACAGATGCCACAAGGTCCCCAAGTCTTCCCTTGTGTGTAGGTGAGGGCATGGTGTGAGGGTGCAGGCAGTCCTGAACATGGCCACCAGGGGAGGCCTGCCACCCACTGAAGCCATGACACCCCAGCTCTCACTCCCGGGGGCCGTGGCAGTGGGGCAACCTCGCCAGCTCTCGGAGCGGGAGGAGGCATGATTCAGTTATTTCACAGGAAGTTCAGTGACAGCGTCTCTCGCAGAGGAGGGAAAGGAAGGGGGTGGGCCAAGGGCCACAGCCTGCCCTGCGTGGTGGCCGCGTGGGCCTGACCTCGCCACTTGCCAGCCTGCGCTCACTTTTTCCACGTGCTTCCAAAGGCCAGCTCTTGGCCTGACCTACGTCACATAAAGAAACTACTGTACTTGCCATGCAAATGTTAGGCATTTTTACTTCCCTAAAAAGAGCAAGGAGGCAAAAATGCCACGTAGAACCCAGGGTCTGAGTTTCTGTTCCTCCCTGGCAGGACAGCCCGCTGCCACCTACATGGAAACGCTGGCGGGGGCCCAGGCCGCTATAAATAAGCATCCTGATCGCTCCAGGAAGGCCGGGCTTCCTCATTTTTTTAACGTGGAATTTGTAACAGCTTCTGCCCAGAACATTTGTGTCCAAGGTCCTTTCATCTCCCAGGCATCCTGTACAACTGCCACGCACAGGTTTTAGAGTTCTTCCCTGCAGCTGTGTCAGGACCAGCCATCCCGGGCCGCCTGCTCAAGTAGACAGGACAGTCTCCCTTCCGTGACCTCCGTCCAGTATTTAGATACGAGTCTTAATCGGATCCCTTCTGAGGAACAAGCAGGAAGCTCCTTCCTGCTTCTGCCCAGGCCGCATCTGTTAGAAAGTTCGTCAGCGCAGGAACCAACGTCAGGGCCTGGGACACACGTTATACATTCTGTCCTCGGGGCCAGGAGCACGCGTTACACACTCCTCAGGGTACAGGCACACGTTACACACTCTGTCCTCGGGGCCAGGAGCACACGTTACACACTCCTCAGGGTACAGGCACACATTACACACTCCTCAGGGTACAGGCACACATTACACACTCCTCAGGGTACAGGCACACGTTACACACTCTGTCCTCGGGGCCAGGAGCACACGTTACGCACTCAGGGTACAGGCACACGTTACACACTCCTTGGGGCCCAGGGCACACATTACACACTCTGTCCTCGGGGCCCAGGGCACACGTTACACACTCCTCGGGGCCCAGGGCACACGTTACACACTCCATCCCTGGGGCCGGAGGTCACTTCCCTCAGCCTGACTGCACACAGCATTACAGCAAGAGCGCTAGATGGGAAAACATACAAAGCTACGACAGGTAAATCTGACACTTGCGCAAAAATCAAGCCAGAGGTCAACAGGATAAAATGGACCCGTGCTGCCGAACGTGGTCGTGGCTGGACCTGTCTGTCACTGTGCAGCAAGATAAGGAGCCTGTGCTTAGAATGTACGTCAGCCATGTCACTGAGCCCGCATTTGCATCAGACCGGCCATTCTTTTTAGGTAGCAAGACTTTCTCGAGGAAAGTTAATTCACATTTTGGCCCAAATTCTTTACCTCCTCCCAGACAGGCACGTTGAGGAGCTTTGCAGTGAATTGTCTGAAACCGTCTTTCGTATAATATATTATAAAAGAAAAATCACAAACCGATAGTGAAGAGAAGATTCATTCAACAAATTGGGTCTGGAAAATTAACTGTATGTTTTTAAGTAACGTTTTTTCACATCATACACAAAATAAACTACAGGTAGAATCAAAAATTAAATGAGGACGAAAATGAAAACTTGAAAAGAAACAGAAGAATCTTAAACTAATCTCACAGTATGGAAAAGCTTTATTTTAAAATATATTTTCAAATCATTTTTTTCCTTTCAACTTTTAATCCGGTCATATCAATTTTTAATAAAACTAGGGTTATATTTTATCTACTATTCTTTTCCATGAAATTATTATTTTAAAATATAGGCGGAAAAGAGCATCCGAAACAATATTTACAGCTTGATTCTAATGACCGTAGTAGTTTTGTCTTATATGGTTTACACATACATGAAATGCATTTAGAAATGCTGTCCATTTGAACATGATTTTCTTCTTTATATTTTGACCCTTTACAAATTTTCTGCAAGGAGCATATATTATTTTTGTCTTTAGAAAAAATAAAACAAAAAGTCGTCATCCACGGCCCAGTGTTTTGGGGGCTGGCATTAGTGGCAATCATGGCCTCTGTCTCAGGCTCACCGCAGGCCGCCCCCTGAGCCATGGGTCCGTCCCTCGACTGCATCTCCGGGTCTCAAGGCCGATGATAACGAGGGGGAGGTGGGAAGGGCCGCTCCCCGCCCGCCTCCCCTGGACGAGCCATTGTGCCCCGGGGCAGGCCCAGCATGGGCACAGGGGCCCCGCCCAGGTCCCACCTCTGGCAGGACGGAGAGGCAGCATTTTTCGGGCGCGTGTATTTCCTGCACACTTGGGGGCATCTCTTGTGCTCATGAGATCGGCTGAGGCCTTGAAATCAAAGCTCTTCCTGCTGCGAAGCCCCAAAGCACTGACAGCAGGCCCTGTGCCGCCTGGGGATGCACAGTGGGGCACGTCCCGGGCACAGCCGCCTCCGCTTTGGGGGCCACAGCGCGAAGCTCTCTGGGAAGCAAGACCTGGCGGGTTCCATTCCTCACGGCTCCCCGTGTTTGACCCACCCCGAGCCCAAGGCAGCACTTTCCAAGTCGGCGACTGGCAGGAAGGTTGAAACCCCTCTGAAAGGGTTGAGAAGGAGCTCGTTGCTGTTCTCGGCGGGTGGGAGGCCCTTTCAGGCCGCAAGTGTTCACGGGGGAGCAAGGAGGCGGATGCCCCTCGTCACCTTGGGATGGCTGGGAGGGGCGCAAGGGCATCCTTCAGCGATCGAACTGCAGGGACTGCGTCAAACCAGCAGCCTTGTTTGGCCACACGCACACTTTAGAACAGCGTATACATCCATGTTCACAGCTTTGGGTACTGTTTGGAAAAAAAAAAAGCCACCTGTAACCTGGGGTGGTAGGCCAGGCCGGAGTGAGCGGGGAGCACCTGGTAGGCTGTGAAAAGCCATGGTGTGGAAAAAGCCCCCTCAGTCAGCCCCAGCCAGGCTGCGTTGGACTGAGCGCTGTTTATCTGGCTGCCACGGGCCTTGCAGGTGCTCAGTGACCCTCTGGCCTTGACATTGCAGGCCTGGCACTGGTGCCAAAGAAGCTGTGCACCCACTACGCCTGGGACACCGGTGTGCTGCTTCAGCCGTGGCCAGCTGTGGACCCGCAGTTCCTGCAGCAGCCCGATGTCGTGCAGATGGCAGTTCTGGTGAGTGCCTCCCACAGCCCCCAGGGCCATGGCGAACCTGCCAGGGCAGGTCACTGTCCTGCTGCGGCCCACACACATGGCCCGGGTTGGGGATTTCCATCAGGCCTTTCTGGCCCACCCAGCCCCTCGCCCGACCTTCCCACCCGTCTTTCCCATGCCTGCACCTTTAGTCTGCCCTCACTGCATACCAGAAGCTAGCGAGCACAAAACCCTCATGGCCCTCAAGGGAGGGGAGTGGAAAAATAACCCTGTCATACACTACAGGTTCCACTTGTCTCTCTTCCCAGCTGTGTTTCAGCCTCTCTCGGCCATGTTTAGCTGTCCTTCGTTCTTCCGGTGGGAGGGGGAGGGGCGGAGGTTGGCGATGAGGGTACACTCACTCTGAAAAATATATTGCAGAGAGGCTAATAACATTTCTATTTTTTGGGGGGGTCTATTGGGTCACTTTAAATACCTAAAATAGTTTATTTAAATTTAAACTTTTTATAGAGTACATAACTTGTAGTTTATCCTTTATGTAATTTTTATTTCTTGAATTTGTTTAATGTGAGACGCAGCATAAGGAATCTCTCTTAAGTATGCCCATATGACTGAAGAGGCGAGGGGGTGGACCTTCTGGCGCATCTGCCCCAAGGCCCACAGGGCCAGGCAATCTCCATGCAAAGTTTAACTCATCACCCTCTGAGGGAGCCGTTGCCCTCCTCATGTTCTGCAGCTGGGGAAACAGACTCAGAGAAGTCCGTCGCCCTGCCCAGGTTCATTCGTTTACTCGTCAGTAATTATCAGGTCACCTGCTCGAGTCCAGGCACCGAGCGAAACTCTGGGAATATAAAGTCACACATGACAGACAGGGTCCCTGCCCTCATGGAGCTTAAAGCCTAGTGCGAGAGATAGGGGCCAGTGAAAAGGAAAGAGAAAAGTGAGTAAAATTATTGCAAATTGTGAGCAGAAGTGTCGGGAACTAACCCACCTGGGGGCTGCGGGCCAAGCGCAGCCTCACGGAGGCTCCGCCCACCAGGGCCCCTCCCCACCCACCCCTCTGCATCTGTTCCCAGCAGTCAGGTGGAGGCTTGGAGAGATTGTCACCCAGGAGACCAGGCTCCATCTCCACACCGTCTCCCCTGCACTTAGTTCCCAGCTGGCCCTGCTTGGCCTCCCCCACCGAGGGGAGGAGGTCGGGCTGCCCTGGCAGGCTTCTCCCAAGAATCCTCAAAACTAAAAACAGCCTGTGGCACAGAAGCAGTTTCTTTACCTTCAGTTTATAAGAAATGAATATCTTATCCTCCTCATAATTGAGAAATGCCAGCTCGAGATACAGAAGTTTTAGTCTATGAAAATGTCTTTCCCCTTTAAATTATCACTGTACCAAAGTAATCTAGTTTTGATCATCGGTGAAATAATTTTAGATTATCGTTGAAATGAAGACCCCACATTTAAAACGTGTTGGAGTCCCCGCAGGCACACCAACTTAAGAACCTCTGTGGAGGTCTGTGTTCTGTCTCCATGTGATCTCAGTATGTGCCGTGGCCAGGAACAGAATTACACGATGTAAACCGGCGTAACTCGGTTTAGCCGTGCCTATGTTCTCTGTGCCCATGGCGTGCCGGGCTGTGACAGATACTAGGGACACAGAGCCCAGAGGCGCCCCCTCATCTTCATGGAGCTTAGCACCCAGGAGGGACAGTCTGGGGACACACGAGTTGTCACACGCATGCGGAGTTTATGTGGGTTTGAGGTTAAGATATAAGAGCTTAGGAGTCAGAGTCTCAATTTGGCAAAATGCTTGATTTCTCTGAGCCTCAGTTTCCTGAGTCGGAAAATGGAGGTGAATATCGTGCCTGCCTTGCCTAGTCATTGAAAGAGTCAGCTGGGATCACTCAGGAGGTGCTTAGCCTGCTCCTGGACGCACTCGTGACGAGCCCACTGACACGCGGCGAGCACTGACTAAGGGCCAGGCAGTGTCCTCAGAACTTTCCAGACCCTAAGTCATTCACTCCACACGGCAGGCCTGCAAGGTGGGCCGGCTGTTAACCTCATTTCACGGACGAGGCAGGTATGTGACGAACCCCATTTTATAGATGAGGAAACAGTGGCAGCATAGGGCTTAATAACCCACCCCGTAAATGGCGACTGCCGCTAGTCACCCACTCCTGGTAGTCGGCAGGCTGGGAATGGCATCGTGCGGGCGGGGCTGAGGGACCTGGGAGGAGCAGCATTCTCTAGTGCAGGAAAGGAGCAAAGGGGAGGACATCCTCGGTGGCCACGTTGGGACTGCGAGCCTTGGAGGGCCTGGAGCAGAGGCACAGGCAGGGCAGCGCTGGAGAGAAGTGGGGGTCTGAGCAGGGGAGAGAGGGAGGGTCCATGAGGTCATCCCACTTGCTGGGCTGGGGCCTTGGGCAGGTGACTTCCCCTCCTGCATCTCGCCTTCCCCATCTGTAAATGGGGATGGGCGGTTGTGCACCCTCTTCGCAGGCTATGGCGGATAAACGGGCTCACTCAAGGGGCTGTGGCACAGAGTGGGGGCTCAGTCAGCGGGGGCTTTATTGTTCTTAGCCATTGGGGGGCTACCCTCCTGGTGGCGAGTGGTGATGGACGGGGCAGGGGGGGCAGCAACGTGGCCAGGGGCCCGCCAGGCCGCTATTGGAGTCCAGAGAACAGGGCTGAGCGATGAAGTGGAGGTGGCAAAGACGGAGGAGCAGAAGCTGGCAGGGCCACCAGGTGGGTCTGGAGGACTTTTCCAAAGTCAGACGGCCCCGTGCGAGGTGATCTGAAAGTGCTTCTTCCCCTTTGAGCCCCTGACGGCCAAGCCCCGTGTGGCATCCCAGCCAGACTTCTGTGGTCTGTTTAATCAGTGCCTTATTCCCACACGTGGGGAGCGTGAGTGGGACTCACTCGCCCTGGCGGAACCGTAAGCCTGGGTGAGCTACTCTGGGGGGGTCCCAGGGAGCCAGAAACCGGAGTGAGAGCCGGGCCAACGTGAGGGAGCCCACACGCCCAGGGCCACACGCCTCTCCCCCAGGCCTCAGCTGTGGACACGAAGGACTCCCTTGGACAGGCCTTGCCTGGGATGGCTTGGGTCCAGTCCCCAGGCTCCGAGGAAGCACCGGGGGCTGACTGGGTCTAGAAGTGCGGCCACTGTCACGTTGAGGCCGCGCGTCAAAGAGGACGTTCCGGGGCTCGCTCCTTCCGTCCTGACCGGGGAAGTAAGACGGAGTGAGCTCACTCAAGCACTTCCTTCACTCCTTCCAGAGGATTCTGTCCTTAAAGAGAAACCAAGGCTTGCGAGTCCAGGCCTGAGTCACCCTGAGTCTGTCCCTCATAAGGAAACATGCTCTCCCTCCCCCAGCACCCCACGCCATGGTCGGTGAACAGAGGACACCCCACCCTGGGCCTCTACTTCCTCCAAAAAGAGAGTAAGCACAGAGATGGGAGGGCCCGCACGCGCCCCGTTATCCCAGGACCTCACAGGGGACATGGCCTTGTGTGACGGGGTGAGGGGTCTCGTACTTGGAAGATCTCAGTCAAACCAAGCTCATGGCCTTGAAAATAGGCAGCTTCACGTGGCCTAGAAACGCGAAGGCAGTGCCCACAGCCCCCTGAACAGCACGTCCTCGCTCCACGGCCTAAGGACAAACACCCTGCATCGCGGAGCCTGTTCCTGAAACCACAATCTTTCTGAATATTTCAGGACAGTGTTTTATTTGTCTCCCACCCAGTGGTCTAGGCTAATGCAACCAATAAAAATGACATAAGTCCTATAAATCTGGAAAAAAAAAAAAAACGCAAAGTGGGTGGTTGGGGAATGCTTGACGATGTGCTTTGGCTGAAACTCGAGAAATTATTCCCAGTAACTTTTCATAAAACGGTGACTGTATTTGCCAAGTGAGAAGCAGGAGCGTTAGCGGAAGAAGTCTCGGTGTCCTTACGGGAGCAGTGGGATTGAGGATTTGAAGGGGGGCTGTCCAGAAGCCGTCTGGGCCCTGTGGCCACTTTTTTGGTGGCCATATTGGTCCATGTTGAATGTGAAGTTTGTCCTCACTGAACTAATTCAGTGAACGCCTGGAACTGGGCTGGCCCGTTTGAAGGAAGAAGAGGGGTTAATGGGACACGGGTCCAGCCTCCAAGCCCTCACACTTGTGCGCCCCCTTCGAGACCCAGTTGTCAGGAAGGGAGGTTGACCAAGGTCCCCAGGGACTAATCCACCTGAGACCTAGGCACATTCCTCGGCGACGCCCCCCTGTAGCAGGGCCTGAGCTTAGAGCTTAGACTTGATCCCCGGTGACACAGGAATCCCTGTCCCCCCGGAAGCAGCCCGAGCCACCCCGTGCTGAGGGGTGTTGGTGTAAGTCCCACCGCAGCAGTGAGGGGGGCAGAGCTCAGGAAACGAGGTGGCTTGGCAGGCGCTCCAGCTGCCAGCAGCCGAGTGCTCTCAGCACCGGCGTCTCGCTCGCCCTCCCTCTAGTTTTCGGCGTCAGTCCTATCCATCTGGTTGTACTTCGTCCTCCCGAGAAGCTGGGCACTGCCCCTCCCTGCCCTCGACCCCTCACTCCCTCCCCCAGACAGACGCGGGAGGCCGGTGTCGGGATTGGGCTGCCTGCCACCCTTGGGACTCGTCCCTGGCTTTTCTCCTCAGATCAACAACAAAGCCTGCGGCGAGATCCTCGTGCCCCAGCACGTCGCCCGGGACCAGGACAAAGTCCACGAACTTGTTCTCCAAAGCGAGCTGGGCGTCAGGCTGCTGCAGGGGCGAAGCATCAAGAAGGCCTTCCTGTCCCCCAGAACCGCCCTCATCAACTTCCTGGTGCAGGACTGACCACAGGGGGCTGCGGCCGCCATGGGGGACGTCCTTCCAGGCTGGGGACAAAGGGGAAGAAGATGCTGGTCCAGGGGCAGGGAAAAGACAAATGTCTTCAATGTTTACCCCCGGACCCTGGCGGACTGGCATCGACGCTGGGCCGCTGTGCGGTGGTCTGCCGCGAGGTGAAGGTGGGTGTGGGCAGAGGAGAAATACGGGCGAAAAGGAGGGGAGGGCAGCCTGTGCACCCCCACCCCACTGCAGGCTGGAGGGACCCAGCCGATCGATCCCATGCGAAGCCACCGGAGATACTGCTGGGTGGGAGCGTGAAGGAGAAGAGGGAAGCAAGTGAAATGAAGGGGAGCTTGCCCCTCGAGCCACCTGGGTGCTCTGGATCCCACAAATTGAGGCACACCCAGGAACACGAGGGTAAACACAGAGATACTGCTGGGTGGGAGCATGAAGGAGAAGAGGGAAGCAAGCGGAAATGAAGGGGAGCTTGCCTCTCGAGCCACCTGGGTGCTTCTGGATCCCAGAAATTGAGGCACACCCAGGAACACGAGGGTAAACACACACGAGGCTGCCCGCACGAGGCTCGGGCAGCGTGGACGGTCAGTGCTGAATAAGCAGCAGAGCATGGGCACCATAGCAGCTGGGCTTCTCACTGTAGGGCTCGTTGGAGGAGCCAGTCGGGTCGTCTCAGCATCCAGTCTGTGGGAGGGACACGGGTCTTCAGAAGTCACTCTGGACCAAAAGGCAAGCAGGCTAGTCCCCTGCCAGCTTCCCTGCTGCTCCTCACTCTGCCTTGCAGGTCTGTCCTCCCCAGCCCAGCGGGGTGCCCTGCCAGGCCTGCCCCTCCACGGGCACACGGGCCCTTGGGCGAAGCCCACTTTCTGCCGTGAGTGAAAAGCAGCGCTTCCTGACCGCTCCCTCGCGGGGTGAGACCTGCTGTGTCGCAGGTGGAACCAGCCTCAGCCCACCAGGCAGTCTGCGCATGGGGCCCCAGGCCAGCCATGAGGCGCGGCGAGTCCACCGCAGAGGAGCGAGACCCATGCCACCTGGGTGTCACCTCCTGTGTCCCAGCCACAGCCGCCTGGCCTGGCTGCTAGGGAGATGGCCAGGAATGGACCCGTGTCGTTGGCATGTTAGGGCGGTCCTGGTTGTTCGTGAAGTCAGCAGTTAGGTGCTCTTCCCAGAACTGGCCTAAGCCACTGATTAATATTTAATGGGGAAAGTGGGGAAGAATCTAGCTGTTTTGCGATACCGAAAATCTATATTCTCCAATGCCATTTTCCTGAAGTAGCCTCAGATGCGGTTCCCCACGCAGTTCAACAGTTAACAGATGACTCTTTTTAATGTAATAAAATGTTCATCACGTACGACTCTGGGAGTTAATCAGGAACAGATTGAGGTATTCCGGGCCCAGCGCCACGTGGAATGTCATGAAGTCAGACGTGTGTGGGACGGTCAGGCACGTCAGCACCCCCACAGTTCTGTCCCTGGTTCTCGAACTTGACTCAGATTGAATGCCGTGCCCGGCCTCCATGCCCAGAAGCCCGGGCGCCAGCACCTTCCAAGCTTCACGGAGGAACCGGATTAATCGATGCGCGTGAAACGGAACGCCTAACTCATCCTTCCTCTCCCTGTTCTCAGCTCCACTGGGGTGAGTTTGGTCCAGGACCCAAACACGGTGACGTGGAGTCGGGAAAGAGTCGGACCGGAAGGCAAGGCAGGGCTCAGCTCTCAGGCAGGTGTCTAAGACGTCCCCAGAGCTGACTGGAGTGTACGCAGCCCGACTCCATGGACCAGCAGATGTGCGGTCCACACAGCAGAAAGATGAGGGTGTTTGGTACGAAGGACATAGGAGTGAAGAGTGCTTTTGCTCGATTGTCCTGTTTATTCCTGAAGTAAGCTGAGTGGTCCCGAGCCACCAGTGAGATGCGGGTGGGGGTCCTTTATCTGCACACAGTGTGGCCAGAGCAACCCCAAGGTCCCAGGCCTGACCAGCAAGGCTCTGGAGAACACTTTCTCCAAGACAGTGAAACAGGCACAGTGGCTCTAAGACAGAAGACGCTCCTCCCTGAGCGGGGAGGTGGGGTGGGAAATGATCTCAGCTGTTTGGTAACTGCCTTGATCAGGTCAAAAACGAGAGGAGTTTACTTGCATGATGTCATTTAATTCCCACAAAACCCTAGAGGGAAGGAAGTATTCTGTCATAAATGTGAAGAAACCCAGGCTCCGAGGGTCAATAATTTGCTATTTCACACAGCCGATAAGGAGCAGAGTGAGCTTCAAAGCCAGGTCTTCTGGCCTTCAGGTCCCCTCATGCCACCCGTCTGTTCCCACCGGTCCCCTCACCTGATTGCCCATCTCGCTGGAAGCATGACAGTCAGGGAAGTTGAGATGTTGGCCGAAGCCGGCATTTTGAGCCGAAGCCGGGGCTCCCTTTCTGTGAGGTCCTCACATTTGTAAAGCTGTGACATCACAGCAGTGCCCTCTGGACAGAGGGACAGGTGGTGGCTGAGTGGCCAGGAGCGCAGTGTGGCGGCGAAGGCTCCTGGCAAACCAGTGGAAGACCCAGGCTCACGGGCAGTGCCAGCACGGTGACTGAAGCGGGTCTGTGCACCGGGCCACGTGCCTGGGAGACCCCATAGCAAAGGCCACCACAGTGGGAGCCAACTGTCCGCCGAGGAAAACGAAATTGATCTCTAAGACCCTAAAACAGCAAGCAAGCTGGGAAGCGGCAGAGGCATGCTTCATCCCCACCTAAATGCACACTTCGAGGGAACTGGTTAAAAAAAATAGGGTGCCGGCACCCAGCAGCAGCCACCGAGCAGATCGGACACCACGTGTTCACGCGCCTCGCTCCACTCCCTCTGCAACCCCGTCTGACACACCCAGTGGAGCTGAGATTGAGAAATTAGGTAAGTCGAAATTGAAGGAAACAGAAACAAGAAAAATCCACAGCCACCAAGAGGCATGAATGGACAGGAGAAGCGGGCGGGCGAGTCGTGACGAGGCACGTGCCACCAGCATGCACCGTGCCTTCCACCAGCACTGCCTTCTCAGTTTATTTTTATTTATTTATTTACTTACTTATATTTTAGGCGAGGCAGCCCTTGTTTGACCTCACCGATCGCAAGGACCTTGTCAGCTTACAATCCCTTATTTTTTATTTTTTTACACCTACAGCACCTGGTCTTCCTAGGTGGTCTCCCATCCCAGTATTAACCAGGCCCGACCCTGCTTAGCTTCCGCGATCAGACGGGATCGGGCGTGGCCGTCGACCTCATCTTACTTCCTTTAGCTGTCTAACTTTGTAAGATGCAAAGAGGTTGGATCAAGTTCAAATGACCGCGCTGCCCCTTTTCACATCCGAGGACTAGTGACGACGGCCGGCCGCACCTGCCTCTCCCACCTGCCTGTCTGGCCCGCAGGGGAGGGAAAGAACCTGCCTGTTGATGAAGGCGGACGCTGGGTGGGCCGACGAGGAAAGCTAGAGACCGAGATGATCCACAGTGTCCTGCGGGCTGCAGAATGCAATTTGATCGGAGCACATTTCTGTTTGCTGTTCAGATGATTTTAGTTAGTGGAAGGCATGACTTTTTAAATATGCAAATAAAAAGTTTTAAAAACTGGGAAAAAGGGTACAGCCAGCTTAAGAAAAATAAGGTGCAGCCAGTCAAAGGATGATGAGGCAGCCGGCAAAAGATGATTTTTAAAAACACGATATGGAAATTTGCTCACGAATAAAATAGTATACGTGTACAACGCGATCCTGACCATAATTTTTTAACTCCACCCCTTACAAAGAGAAAAGGAAATTTGCCCACAGATGACCGGTTAAGAGTTCTACAGGTTATTTTTTCCTCCTTTTTCGCATTTACAAATCTGTATTGGCCATATAGCATCTCGATAAGGGGGGAGGGGGGACTTCAAAATGCCTAATTTTGTGAAGATCCAAATGAGCCAAGGACCTCTCCCCCTTGATTTTCTCCCAGTGAGGGTACCCGCCTGCTGAGGGAGATGTGCCCCAGCTGGAAAACCGCGCTCCTTTTGCTGCGTGAATTGGAACCCAAAGCAGCTCAAAGCAGCCTCCGCAAATCTGCTGTTGGCACAGTTGCTCCGTGTGGGTAGGTGTGGGAAGCTCCCTCTCATCTCTCAGCCTAGGGACCTCGTGGCCTGAGGACAGAAGAACAGAAGGCAGCATTCCCTTCATGGAACTCGCCCGCAGAGCACAACCTGCCGTTAGGTGGCCTTTTCCTGCCCCGCAACCTTAGTATGGTCTACTTTCCATGTTCTGATTCCAGCCTCCTCCTGGTCAGTTCGGGGAGCTCCATCCGTGCGACAGGGATTTCTCCTTGGAGCCGGAGACCCTCTTTTCCGTAAGCGGTGGCCCAAGACAATGAGAGGCCTGACAAGGATCCCGAAAGCTGCCAGACGACCTTCAGGCCCCGTCACGGCGTTTCCTGTCCTGTCGGGTTTGCTGCCTCGGCTTGGGGTTGACCGACTGACTGGGAGCAGCAGGCCCAGTGGTGGAGCTGAAGGAGGTTTGGGGCTAAGTGGAAGGCCCGCCAGACACCCTTGCAAGCCATCCGTGTTCCAGGGGTCTCTTGACAGGCCCGTGCTCAGAGAAGATGACCTCCAGATCGAAAGCTGAGCGTCAGGAGTTGGCTTTGGTTTTCACTTACAGGTTGTTTGGTTCCTGAACTGAGCCCCAGAAGAGGGGTTATAAGGCCACTGGTTCACACAGGCATGTGCAGCATGCACCTGGGCCAACAAACGCTTCCTGCTGGGCCAGAGTTGGCCATTACGGACCACAGGCCAAAGAGGGGCACGGTTCCTGCACCAGCTGGCCTGGCCTTCACGTCCAGCTGTCCCATTCAGCCTTTCCCTTCCTACGGGCAGCCAAGGTTATGGGGTCACTTTGTGCACCAGGCAGCATACAGGGGGCTTTGCCGCTGCTCTCAGATCCTCACGTCAAAGTGGGAATTATGAATCACATCCTAATAAGGGAACCGTGTAGAAAACTGTAGAAAAATGTAGCATATTACCTGAGTCACCACTTTTAACTGCTCCTGTCAGGATTTGCTCCTAGGCCTGCCTTTCTGTTCACAGGTCATGCTTTCTCCACAGCTCCCAGCTGGGAGGGAAGAAGTGGGGTGTCTTGAAGGGAAATACAGCTTGTTCTTTCTGTCCAGAGAATTCTGAACTGGAGCTCAGGCACATATGTGGTGCCCCAGACTTGTGCTTCCTTGAAGAAGGGGGCTGGGCTTTTGTACCCTGAATCTGTCAGTCATTGGCTTTGCCCACCTCTTGGGGGGTGGGGTGGGAATACCCTAGACATCTTGGGATCAAGGGACTCCCATTGGCTCAGGAAAAGTTTCCAGAGAAAGACACTGCTGAGCTATCGGTAACCAACATGCAGA